GGACCCTTCTGAAGAAGGGTCTAGGCCCGAAACGTCAGCCTTCCTGCTTCTCTGATGCTGCTTGGCCTGCTGTGTTCATCCAGCTCTACACCTTGTTATCTTAGATTCTCCAGCATCTGCAGTTCCTGCTATCTCTAATTATGAATCACCATTGGTCTATATAAAAGCATCTGATTTGCTTGATCAATGGTTTTAATTTCCTGACCAGTTATCATTTTGTTATTTTGTGCTAAATGGGATAAACTTTGAACAGATTTAGCAGCTCAAGACTGGGCATCCATGAGGCACAGTGGGCCATCATCAGCAGCTGAATCATAGTGCAACAGAACCTGAATCTTCATGGCCTGGCATATTCCATCCTACCATTGCCGTCAAGGCAGGGGATCAATCCTTCTTCAATGAAGAGTGCAGGAGGGCATGCCAATAGCAGAACCAGGCATATCTAAAAATGAGGTGTGAACATCGTGAAGCTACATTACAGAACTATTTGCATGTAAAACAGCACAAGCAGCAAGTGATGGACAGGACTCAGTGGTTTCATGTCAATGGATCAGATTTAAGCTCTGCAACTGTGTCACATCTAGTCGTGAATGGTAGTGGTCAGTTAAATAACTCACTGGAGGAGGTCTCCACAAATATCCCCATCCTCAATGATGAAAGAGCCCATTACATCACTGCAAAAGATAAGGCAGAAGCATTCGCAACCATCTTCAGCAAATGGATAATCCATTTCAGTCTCCCACTGAGGACCCCAATATCACAAGTGCCAGTCTTCAGCCAATTCAGTTCACTCCATTTGATATCAAGATATGGACAAAGACACTGGGTACTGCATAGACTATGGTTCCCAACAACATTCTAACAATAGTACTGAAGACATGTCTCCAGACTTTGCCGCACTCCTAGACAACTGTTCCAGGACACCTACAACATTGGCATCCATCTGACATTGCAGAAAATTGCCCAGGTGTGTTCTATACATAAAACACGGAACGCATCCAATTTAGGCGGTTACCACCCCTTCAATCTACTGTTGATTATGAGTAAAATGATGGAAGATGACAAACACAGTGCTTTCAAGCAGCAGTTGATTAGCAAAATCCACCTCACTGGTGCTCAGTTTGGTCTCTGCCAAGGCCATTCAGCTCCAGACTTCATTACAGCCTCAGTTCAAACATGGACATAAGAGCTGAAATGTGGAGGTGAGATAAGAGAAACTGCACTTGACATCAATGTCACATTTGATCGAGTGTGACATTGAGGAGCTCTAGAAAAAAATGGGTCAAAGGGCATTAGGAGGAAAACTTTCTGCTAGTTGGAGTCATACCTGACATAAAGGAAGATGGATGTGATGGTTGGAGGTCAGTTATATCAGCTCCATGACATCGCTGCGGGAGTTCGTCAGGGTAGTTTCCTTGCCCTAAACATCTTCAGCTACCTCATCAATGGCCTTACGTCCATACTAAAGTCAGAAGCGGGGATGTTCACTGATTAATGCACAATGTTCAACATTAATTTCTGATTCCTCAGATACCAAAGTTGTCCATGTCCAAGTGCAGTAAGACCTGGACAATATCAAGGCTTGGACTGAAAAGGTGACAATGACCATCTCCAAGATGAGACAATCTAACTATCATCCCTTGATATTCAGTGGAATAACCATCATTGAATCCCTAACTGTCAACATCCTGGGGGTTATCATTGCCCAGAAACTGAACTGGTCTAGCCACTTAAATACAGTTGCTACAAGAGCAGATCAGAGGCTAAGAATCCTGCAGCAAGTACTTCACCTCCTGACCCCACAAATCAACAAACTGCAAGTCAAGAGTGTGATGGAGTATATTCCGCTTGTCCCTGCTTGTGCATCTCCCACAATACATAAGAACATTAATGTTAACCAAGACAAAACAGCCCTCTTCATTAACACCATGTCTACAAACATTCATTCCCTCCACCACCAATGCTCAGAAGTAGCAATTTATACCACCTACAAGATGTACCACCGAGATTCACCAATGCTGCTTTGACAGCACTTTCCAAACCAACAGCCACTTCAAGAGCAGCAGGTATACCACTACCTGCAAGACTCCCTCCAAACCCCTCACCATCCCGACCTAGAAATGTATCTCCATTCCCTCAGTGTCACTAGACCAAAATCCTGGATCTTCTAAATGAACGCAAAAGGAATTAAATAATAAAAATGCCATTCAAATCCAGAAAGCAAATTAGGACAATAGTGAATCACTTAAAAAAGAATCTTTGGATTGAAATGTTCTTGAACTACTTTCAAAACACAATGTATTTGCATAAAGACCAAAAAAGTGGTCAAATGGAAGACACACAGATTGAATTCTTAACTGGGTCAGATGTCCATCAAGCTTCCTTGAGACACAGGATATTGTTCCATAAAATTGGTCTTCATTATGCTTGTTTTAAAACTGTGCAACAAAATCCAATTTCTACCTGAAATATTCTTTTAGCGTTGTTCCTGATTAGCCAGTTAAACCATAATCTCCAGGTCAAAAATACCCCAAATTTGCCAATATATGATTTTCTAACATAATTTAAGGTTGTGACTATGGAAAGTGACCAGGGTAAGGTATAGTTTGAAAATAATGTCAGAAGATCCCAGTTATGTAATGATATATGTTATACCTAATGCTGTAATATTCCATGGAATCCTCATCAAACTCTGAGCTTCTCCATTTTCTGAAGAAGGGTCCGGACCCGAAACGTCAACTTCGCTGCTCCTCTGATGCTGCCTGGCCTGCTGTACTCCTCCAGTTACACACTATGTTATCTCTGACTCCAGCATCGGCAGTTCTTACTATCTCTGATCTTCTAAAACCAAGTTCTCAACAAAACATATGTTTTTATCAACAGCCATGACATTTGGGCACATTATTTAGACTATTAGAAAACTAGAGCATTCAACATACTTGAAGGAAATTTCAAGCAAATCCCCAGATTTTCAATATTTAGTGACATGGACATAGAAATAAGAACACTAACATGTAGTTTGCTTTAAATCTGTTGTCCAGGACTCTGAACTTGCCTCTCTGGAGAGAGACTTTGCCTTGCAGTTACAGTTTGTCGAGGCAGCCAAGCGCCTATCACAAGAAGCAAATCTAAGCAGGCAGATAAGAAAACAAAGAAAACATGCTTGTGTAAAAGAGCAAAAGAAACTAAATGAAATCAAGAAAGCTATAAACGAGCATCGAGAAATGGCTGATGGACGAGGACTGCAGACACGTAACGTAATTGAAGGTATGTGACAATTTTAACTTGCCTCCGGTATAATATCCAATGTTACTTGTCACCACAAGAATATTATGAAGTGTTTTTCGTTAAAGGAATAGAACAGCTTTTTCCTCAGGCGTTGGTAACAGGAGCTGGTTTGTGGTAACAGGCAGGGCATAACCAAGAAACATGCAACTACCAGTCAAAGTGGAATTTTGCCAATAAAGACAATGCTCAAATGCATATTACCCATTAACATGTGAATACTCAAGTTCAAGGGTCAAAGATTGGAGTCTCTGGAATCTGTACATGCCTTATGTTTTCTTTTACTACAGGGAAGAAACATTTACTATTGATTTTTCCTACAGTTCTTGGAACTCAAATTGGTTTCAATTTCTCCTTTTGAAATACTGAACTTATGTTGGAATTTGGTTCAGGGAACATCAGAATCTCTACGTTACCTCATCTAAATAACCATATTTAACAAACTGAGTGTTAGAATGGCATAGCTGTGCCAAAAATAATCGTCCCAGAATTAACAATAATTAATGATTTAATTAATTAATAACAAATACGTAATTTAATATCAGGTAATTACTTACATTATAAGAGCAGAAAGTTCCAGAAAAACTCAGCAGGCCTGGCAGCATTCATGGAGCGTGAAATGTGTTTTGAATGCAATACGACTCTTATTCAGGAAAAATATGTCAAATCTTCTTCAATGTTTTTCTTGTCGCAGATGATGCCAGGCTGGCTGAGTTTGTGCAGCAGTTTATCTTTCTGTTTCATATTTCAGCCATTTGTAGTATTTTCCTTTCAATTAAACAAGTAGATTCCTTACCAAAGCTAGATTGTCCCTGAATGATGCACACTTTTGTTTACAAAAATTTGCTAAAGTTTTTCAACCACATGTTCAGTTTTACAGACAGAAGTCACAATGCATAGTCAATATCAATGATCAAATTGGTTGTTTGAAGACTGAACAACCTATGTGCTCTCAAAATACAGTATTACATTGTAATTTGCATTACTTTATAGTCTCTGTTTTGATATTTTATAATAGCTTTCGTTGTTTTATATTCACTGTTCAAAATAATAATTATTAGTAATGCTTACATGATGCACAACATATTGTTGAAATTCTTATTATATATTTAGGTACATAATTATTGTAGGCAATGTGTCTGATCATACATCCATTAAGAGTATGAGGCATTGCTATCAGCACTTTACACATATTACCTAACTGTGGAGAATATAAAAGGAGGTTACTGTCTACTAAACATTCATTTGATGGTTGAGATCATTGAGAGTTATTAAACAGGTGCTGTCTAAGGAGACTTGGTGAATTTCTGTAGTACATTTTGTAGATACATACTGCTGCTACTGAGCACCAGTGACGGAAGAAATAAATATTTCTGGATGTGGTGTCAATCAAGTGGGCTATTTTGTCCTGGATAGTGTCAAACTTCGTGAATGTTGTTGGAGCTGAAATCATCCAGTCAACTGGGGAGTATTGCGTCACACTCTTGACTTATGCCTTGTAGATGGTGAACAGGCTTTGGGTAGTCAGGAGTTGAGTTGCTTGCTGCAGGATTCCTAGTCTCTAATCTGCTCATGTAGCCATCATATTTACATGGACTGTCCTGGTTAGTTTCTCTTCCATGGTAACCCCCAGGTCATTCAGCAGTGGTAATGCCATTGGTTATCAAGCAGTAATGGTGACATTCTCTCTCGTTAGAGATGACTTCTACCTGGCACATCTGTGGCAGGAATTTTATTTACCGTTGTCAGCCTAAGCCTTGATATTGCCTAGCTCTTGCTGCATTTGGGCATTGACTGCTTTTACATTTGTGGAGTCACAAATAGTGCAGATTAAAGTGCAATCATCAGCAAACATGCCCACTTCCAATTTTATGATGAATGGCATGTGGAATGATGTTGACTGCCTTCCAACAACCACAGCCATCTTCCTTGGTGCAACCATGACTCCAAGATTTGGAGAGTTTTCTCATTGATTCCCATTGACTCCAGTTTTGCTAGGGCTCCTTCATGCAAAACTCAGTCAAATATTCCCTTAATCTCGCCTCACCTCGAGAATTCAGCTCTTTTGTCCCTATTTGAACCAAGGCTGTAATGAGGGCAGGAGCCATGTGGCCCTGGAGGAACTTAAATTGAGTGTCAGTGAGCAGTTATTGCGAAGCAAGTGGTGACACTTTCCATCATTTTACTGATGATCAACAATAGACTGACAGAATAGTAATTGGCCAGGTTGGAATTGTCATGTTTCTTGTGGGCAGGAGATACTTGGGCAATTTGCACATTGGTGGGTAAATGCTAATGTTGTAGTTCTTCCGGAGCAGCTTGACTCGAGGCACTGCATTTTCTGGACATCTTCAATACCAAAGCTGCAACGTTGTCAGGGCTGAAAACCTTTACAGCATTCAGCTCCCTCAGATATTTCTTGATATCACATGAAGTGAATCAAATTATCTGAAGACTGGCACCTGTGATACCAGGGATCTCAGGAAAACGCTGAGAAAGTTCATGCACTCAGCACTTCTTGCTGAAGATTGTAAACGCTTCAGTCTTATGGTTTGCACTGATGAGATTGGCTCCCCATGTCATTAAGGGTTTTGATATTTCTGGAGCCTCCTCCTCCACTGAGTTGTTTAATTATCTAACACCGTTCACAACTGGAGTGCAGAGCTTAGATCTAAACTATTGATTGTGGAGCCACTTAGCCCAGTCTATCACTTGCTGATTATGCTGTTTGGCATGCAAATAGTCCTGTAATGTAGCTTCAGCAGATGACACCTCACTCTTAGGTATGCCTGGCTGTACTCTTGGCATGTCCTCCTGCATTCTTATTGAACCAGAGTTGATCTCCTGACTTAATAACAATGATAGAGTGGGGTTTATACTGGTCCATGAAATTATAGATTGTAGTTATATGCCATTTTGCTACCATTGATGGCCCAAAACACCTCTTTTGTGCCTAGATCTGAGCTGCTAGATCTATTTAAATGGAAACGTAAAGGATAAACAATTGATTTGGTTGTATTAAAATCTCATTTCTCACAACTCTTTTCCTTTTAGAATTGATCGCTTCTGATGACAGTTCTCTAGAAGATGGTAAGTTCTCACTTAAGGTTGTAATTAGTGTTGGGTTGTACAAGGGGTTATTGGAATTCAAAAATCAGATGGAGTGTCAAATGGGCTGCTGGTGGCAATCAGTCATTATGTGCATTGTGCATGTAAAATTTTATATCCTGAATATTCAGTCTCATCCACTAGGTCAGTGAGATTTATGTACCACGGACTAAATTGTGGTCTATCAATCTGAAGACAGACTCAGGGGAAGTGATGGCCTTGTGGTGCTAGACAATTAATCAAGGGACAGCATAATGTTCTGGGGACCTGGTTCTAAATCTAAAAACCTGGTGGATGATGGAATTCAAATTTGATAAAAAAATGTGAAATTAATTGTTTAATGGTGACCATGAAACAATTACCAATTGTGGGGGAAAACCCACCTAATTCACTAATGTCCTTTAGAGAAGGAAACTGCCATATAAAAACGGAAACAAGCTGAGGATTCTGTAAATCAGGAATATCAGTAAATCGGTTCTGAGGAAGCGTCACCGGACCTGAAATGTTAACTCTGATTTTAATTCACAGATGCTGCCAAACCTGCTGAGCTTTTCCAAGGAAACTGCCATGCTTACTTGGTCTGGCCTACATGTGATTCCAGATCCTCAGTGATGTGTTTAACTCTTAATAATTAGGGACGGTCAATAAATGCTGGCCTAGCCTGTGACATCCATATCCTGTGAATGAGTAAAAAGAAATAAATTTGGGAAGATTATTTTTTGATTGCCTTTTTTGCTGTTTTAGACATTCATTACCTGCTGCAGGATTCAAACATACTTTGCTTGTGCTTCTGAGTTTCCACTGGACCTTCATTTGTCTATTTATGTCTTTCTAATTTCAGCTTAGCCTGCAGGAAAGCCCAGGAACAGAGCAATGGGATAAACATTCCCAGCTCACAATCCGAAATAGAAATAGAAAGTGCTGGAAATGCTCAACATGTCCGGCAGTATTTTTGAAGAGAGATACCAGCTCGATGACCTTTCATCAAATATGGAAAAAAGTTAGAAATGCAACAGTTTGAAGTTAGTGAAAGTGGATAGGTGGGATTAAGGACAAAAGGGAAGGTCTGTCAAAAGGTGGAAGAGCAGTTGTAAGGCCAAAGGAAATGGTAAAGAAAAGATGCAACTACAAGTCATGTGAATGGCAGAATCATGACACAGACCCTTCAAAAGCAATAAAAAGAGAAAGGAAACAGGAGAGAAACCCCATACAGTAAAGAAAAGGAAACAAAATACAGACAGATGTTATAATTTGAAATTGTTGAGCTCAATGCTGAGTCCAGATGGCAGTAAAGTAGCTAAATCAAAGATGAGGTGTTGTTCCTTGAGTTTCTTTGGAATGCTGCTGTGGGGGCCAATGTCAGAGAGGTCAGAATGAGAGCAAGGAAGAAATTTGAAAGGGGGGGGCAAGGAGCTTGGGGTTAGGTTTGTGGATTGAAAGGGAGTTGTCCCACAAAGCAGTCACTCAGTCTGTATTTGGTCTCCCATTGTAGAAGAAACTGCATAGTAAGCGGTGAATAGAACAGACTCAATTAGAAGAAATGCAAGTAAATCGCTTAGATAGAAAGCTGCCATAGAAAGGAGAGGGCTATTGGTTGTGGTTGAAGAATGGACTCATTTGCAGCACAATATTAATGTGGAAGAAGGAGGAGCATTCTGATTCTGATGACTTCAAACAAATTTGGCAAACAATTCCTGAAACGTGCAGGAGCCACATTTCAAACACATAACAGAATTTCCTAAAAAAAAGCGCTTTGACAAATTTAGTAGCTCCTGGAATACCATCTTTCTGATAAATTTGACATTTTATTGCCTGTTTTACACCTGAAAGGTTGATGCAACACACCGAGTCTGTATTACTGCAATCATAACAATCTTATGAGAAATACATCCATCTTAAAAGTATAGTATCTTTTTGTGGTGTTTTGCTGCCATTTAATGTCAAACCAAACCCAAACAGCAAATGCTTAAAATACTCTAGAGGGCAGACAGAAGAAATCAGAAGAGCGAGTTTGCAATGCGGAAATTTTTGTAAATCAGACAACATGTTAAATTTTTACATATCACCAACATTGCATAAGACAGAAGATTTTCTGTTTGAATATTCTGTAGAGCATTATTATTACAAAACTCATAATTTTTTTCATAACAAGTTGTTGTTTGTTTCCTATTGGACTTTCTAAAGTGAGCTTCACCAGCATTCTAAAGCAGCAAACATGATGGGCCAAAAGGTTCCATAGTTTCTTATGTCACAAGTGGAAAATGATTTTATGTTTCAATTTTGCCAAAATGAGATAGTCCTGTTAAGGATCTGACTGATTCTTTTTTGACCCATGTTATTGTTTGCTTTCCACAGAGATGGGACATCGTTGTAGCCAAAATTCGTCAACAGAATTCTTGACAGCTGGGCATGGGATGCAAAGGAATCACTCTCCACTGCCGCCTCTGCAGCCCAATAGGCCAACCCCACCTCAAACTCTGGAAGGGCTTACTCCCGTCTTTTATCAATGCAGTGATTATGAAAGATCACCAGTCACAGACACAGCATGGATGGAGTCTAATCTGGATGAACCATATGAAAAAGTGAAAAGAAGCTCCTCTTTGAGTAGCAAGTCAAGGTACAGTTTAGATTTTATTTAAAGTGACAGGTGATCAGGGCTCACATTTGCAGAATGAATGGACTGTGGCAATTTTTGTTGGTCTCCTCAGTGTAGAGAATACTGGACCATGAGCAGTAACTACAATAAAATAAATTGAAAGAATTACCAGTGAATCATTCTTTCATCTGGAAAGAGTGTGTAGGGCACTTGAGCAATGAGAACGGAGGTAGGAAATGATACATGTTGCAGCTCCGGTACTTGAGATGCCATCAAAAGGAGACAAATGAGGAGTGGGCCAGGATACTGATGTGGAGGCAGGAGGAGCACTCCTGTTCTGACCAATTTAGCATTCAGCAAGTATCATCTCCCTGCAGATGCTTCATGCCCTTCAGAACAAAACACTTCTCCGTTTAACTGTACTTAATTTTTCTGCAGTCTACTCTGGAAGCTGGCAATGTCCTCCATATTGGGAGTGGACAGTTAGGGCATTAAGCATTCTAACCACCCTTAGGCCTACAGCAGTCCTTGAGTTAACTGGGCTAAAATTCCAAATGAATGAACTAATTTACAGAAACTAAATAAGTAAGGCACATATAGAACATACAAATTTTGACATAATGACAGTCTGTGATTCTTTTTAAAATTACAGACCTCTCCCGGCTGTAGTGAATACCATCACAACATCCTTATCAACAGTCTGTAACATGCTCCAGACTTGTTTCCAGTTTTCTTCTATAAGAGACAGCCTCATCGTTCCCACGCTGTCATGACTTGGTTTGCTCCTTCCTCTTGCTTCGTAGAATAAAAGGTTTAAATGTTCTGGCAGCCTTTTTAATACTTCATTACCTCCTCCTGAGACAGTTTCCATGATGCTTAATTAAATTCCCCATTCTATTTTTCTGTCACAAACATGTTTATTCTCTAACTTTGGTCTTTTGATTAGTGATAATAATCCTTTCTTCCCGCTGAAAACTCTCAGCAGTATCATATAAACAGATGGTGTTGTGATATGGTTGCTGACTGTGGCTGAGTGCCTTTCCTTCTCCTTGATGCTACTACATCTCGAAAGTAAGAGATCCAACTGTGAGGCCCATCATTATGTCGTGAATCTGATCTGCCTGCATGATCTTTGATAGTTCATTCATTTGGAATTTTAGCCCAGTGCTGGGCTTTATGCAGTATCTGATGACTCACTACTAATGTTAGCTGCTGTAAACATAAAAATGAAACAGGGGCAATGTATTACTGAAAGATGCAATAGACTTTTATTGCAGCTGTTGGTCTCTACAAATAATACAATGATGGGCACAGCCGTACCTAGGCTAGCACTGAGCAGTTCAAACTATTGCATGCTTCCCTAATTGCATCATGCTGCAAGGGACCCCAGCAGCATATAAACTGGACCTTTATTCCAGGATGCCATATGCCAGGATATGGTGATGATATAATGAGCATATCTTTTAAAGGCACATTGTATATTAGCTGTGAGGCATAGCACAACACCTTGTTCCTGTGTTCAAGTCCTCATCCCTGAACTCTGACCCCTTGTTAATCTTAAACCACTCTGCCTGCCAGTGACCAGTGACTTAGTTTGTGGCACAACAAAAGTGATTCATAAGTTAGCTTTTATTACATATGGATTTCATCAGGAAGATCTTGAGGCTAGGTGGAGTTGGCAAAAGCAGTGGTGCATTTTATGAAAGGTTTAAGAAATCCTCTCCGTGACAAATGTATCTCCGAAAATTAGCAGAAATAGTCACCAACACAAACAATTCTCCTGTCCTCCTTACCCAACTCCCATATTTCTATAGTCCCAAATCCCTACACTACCAATTTACTTGAAACCAACTTTCTGTTGCCATTGCCTAAAATACTTGCAAACTACCATTGAACAATTTACACATTGGAATCTTTTCTTTATCATGTTCTGCTTAATCCTGTTCATCAAATAAAAAAGAAAATATAAGGTGGATTAACAAACTTTTTATCCAGGCAACTATATTTCAACACAAATATGTGCATAATCTTACAATACAGTACAGAAACAGATCCTTTGGCCCAACTCATCCATGCCGACCAGGATTCCTAAACTGAACTAGTCCTGTTTTGCCTGCATTGGCCCATTTTCCTCTAAACCTTTTCTATCTATATACCTGTCCAAATGTCTTCTAAATGTTGTAATTGTACTCGCTTCTACCACTTCCTCTGGCAGCATGTTTCATATATGCACCACCTGCTGTGTGAAAAGGTCGCCCCTTGGACCCTTTTTAAATCTTTCCCCTCTCACCTTAAACCTATGCCCTCTAGTCTTGGATACCCCTACCCTGGGGAAAAGACCTTATGATTTTATAAACCTTGATAAAGTCATGCCTCAGCCTCTTACACTCCGGGAAAAACATCCGAGCCTATCCAGCCTCTCCTTATAACTCAGACCCTCCAGTCTTGATATCATCTTTGCAACTCTTTGTAGATCTTTTTTGCACCCTTGCCATTTTCAAATTCCAATCACTTAATCTGAACTATCAACATCTTTTCTCCACCAGGACTCTACACCCACCGCTGCCACACCTTCCCTCCAACTGTAGCATAAAAGCTGTCCCCTCTCGCTTCATCTAGACTCGAAACGTTAGCTTGCTGTCTCTCCATGAATGCTGTCTGACTCACTGTGATCTCCAGCATTTGAGATTTAATCCTTCTGTTGTAGGTGCGGAATCTATTTAGATTAGCAACGTGCTGTTTATGGGTCTTAGTAATAGCCTCAAAAATCATATTAGTACAATAAACACCGAGTATTATAAAAATATTCTTAGTAGAACACAGTACTGTAACGTATAGCATTACCTTAAATAACGCCAAGTGTATCATGAAACCCGTGGATACTTTGAAAGTTCAGGGTTTTGCATCATCTTATCTCTCCCTCTTTGTTTCCATTTTGTTTTCTGATGACTGAAAATTCCCAGCACTTGAGGAGCAATTCATGTAATACTTTTAAGATATGGCTCTACATCAACAGTTAATTTTGTTCCTTTAAAATTTTCAGCAGTCCGGCAGTGACCCCATTGGATTCTGTACCGGGTGACCTCATGCCTTTACAACTTTTTGAAATGAGAAACAACATGTATCCAAATCAAAATTCAATAAGTGCACCATCAACCCCTGAACTACGAGGCCGCATCCACCATCAAACAGCAAGGTAGGAAGGAATAAAATAAATGTTATATAATTGATCTAGAATCAAGGACCAGTTCTAACTCAACACTAGATGCTGGTACATCATAAAACTCTCAGTACGAGCCACATAGCTTATCTAAGAGGTAGAAACTAAATGGAATGTTAACAAATCTTTCTATATGTTGCCACTTAAGGGCATTTTGAAGTTCTGTAATGTCAATTTCTTTGTACATAAGATATGGGTGACACTGGCTAAAACAGCATTTAGTGGCAATCTCTAATTGACATTGAGAAGACAGTACTGAGCTGTGTGATGAGCTACTGTAAGCCTTTAGGTGTAGGTATGTCAACAGCGCTGTTAGGAAGGCAGCTCCAGTATTTTGTCACAACAACAGCAAAGGAATGGCAACATAGTGCCAAGTGAGGATGGTGTTTGGCTTGGAGGGAAACTTGCAGTTGTACCCTTGCATCCACTACTCTTATCCATCTAGGTGACAGAGGTTGTGAGTTTGGAAGGTACTATTGGAGGTGCTTTGGTGAGTTGTTGTGCATCTTGCAGATAGTACACATGGCTGCCACTGTGCACCTGTACTGAAGGGAAAGAATGTAGAATAGTTTGGCTTGGGTGGGGGATAGTTCTGAAGCACAGGCCTTCAATATTATTGCCAGAACAGCCTTTTCAGGATTTAGTGCTTTCAGCTGTTTCTTGATATCATATGGAGTGAATCAAGTTGGCTACAGTCTGGTAGCTAGGGACCTCAGCAGAGGTGAGATGGATCATCCATTTAGGACTTCAGGCTGGAGTAGATACATATGTTTCAGCCCTGACCTTTGCACTAATGTGCTAGCTCCCCTTTCATTTAGGATGAGGATATTTGTAGAGCCTCCTCCTCCTGCCTAAGCAGTGGGATTCAAACTCGTGTGTCCGGGCCATTCATCTAGACCTCTGGATTAATAACCCAATGGCATTATTACTGTTCCAAATTCTTAAATGTGAAATTTGAACTAGCCATGAATATCAACAATTATCTTAGACATACCATATCAAACTACCCAGATCAAACGTTCATGTTACACCACAACAAAAGACTCACATGCAAAAGAACTTCAAAGAAACCAAATAGATCAACCAACGCCACCCATACATTAGGGATTAATTTATAATGTTTGCATCAAGTGTTCACATATACTCAAATAGAGTCAGCTGTGGCTTGGTTGGTATCTCTCTTTTATCTGAGTTAAAAACTTGTGGATTTAAGTTCTCCTCTTGAGACTTAAGAAAAAAAATCCAAGCTGATAATCCAATGCAATGCAGTGGGAGGGATGTAATGTCAGAGATGCAACCTTTCAGACGAAACATTAAACCAAAATATTTCCTACTTTCTGGGTTGGATAACAAAAATCCCATGGAAATAGGTGGAAGAAGCAGGAGTTATCCCCATAATCCTGAATCAACATCACTTAAAGAAAATTAACTGGTCATTATCACATTGTCGTATGTGGGAAGTTTGCAGTGTGCCAATTAACAGGCATGAATCCTACATTTTTACAGCAGTTACTGTAAAGAAATAGTATTTTAAAGTCTGTGAAACATTTTGGGATATCCGCAGTTCTTTTGGTTTTTATGGAATATTCTGAGGTTATGCATAATGCTATATAAATGCAGATCTTACTCATTCTTTGTTTGCTAAAATCAAAATGTCTCAAGGTAATGAAATTTCAACCACAATCTTGAGTCTAGAGGTTAAAAGTGCTGAATAAGTACTTGGTCAACAGTGTAGTTACAGTCAAAAACAAAAATTGCAGGAGAGACTCAGCAGGTATGACAGCATCTGTGGAAAGAAAGCAGAGTTAGTATTTCAGGACCAGTGACCCTTCAACAGAACCTGCCCAGCTACAGTCAGTTCTACTTGATATCTAGGTGGTTACATGATTGTACAAGAAGAGTGTTGTATTGAGCAAATGTAATGCATCACCAAACTGGTATTGTTACAGCTGTTTAAAGCAGCAGACTGATTTCTGTGTCTTCTTAATATCAAGTGGATATGAATTGTTTTTCAGCTGGTTGTTGATCATGATTCTACCCCAGTGTAGTGCAATAGGCATAAAACTTTAAAATTTACATTTGCAGACAGTTAAAATGTTGTAATGTTTCAGTTTTGTAGTTCTCTTGCTGCATTAGCACAGTGAGAATAACAGAATCAGCTAAACTGAGTCAAATCAAGGATAGCAGCTAAGCTTGAGAAAAGCATTTGAAATATTTGATAAAAGTCCAGCACACTGCTCTGATAGCTGATAACTCATTCATTAGATTCTTTTTAAAAATCTTACATTTATAAGTGTGTCATAAAAATTGGTGAAGAGTTTGCTGTAATGTGGCAGGCAGTGCCTATTTGGAGATATTAGGAGAGAAATATATTTTCTCACAACAACTGTGCTGAAGAATAGTAGCTGACAAGATAAGGGGGTGCAATTCCTGATATTGGATCATTCTCTGAGAAAGGGGACCATTGGGTTTCTAATTGTTTATGCTCTGACAGAAATTGAACTCTGTGCTGGCAAATACATCTTCTGCCTATTCCACCTATACACAGTCTTTGGCGATGTGCTGAGGCTTTCTTGGGTTACCAGAATATTCTGCCATTTTAAACTCAGTGTAAACCATGCCTATCTAGAGCAGTGAAATCTGGACAGATCCCAGAGATTTCACAGTGAAAACACAATCAATTCAAAAGAGGTAGTAAGAATTGCAGATGCTGGAGTCAGAGATAACACAGTGTGGAGCTGGAGGAACACAGCAGGCCAGGCAGCATCAGCGGAACAGGAAAGTTGACATCTCGGGTCGGGACCCTTCTTCAGAAATGGCCCAATTCTGAGCCATTATTCTTAGATTGAACTATTGAGGCTGATCGGTTAGATATAGACAAACAGGAAGCTGGAAGAGCACAGCAAACCAGGCATTATCTGGAGGAAAGGAGAAGTCAACATTTCGGGTATTACCCTTCTTCTGGACTGGATGTGAGGTTAGGAGGAGCTGAAGATAAAGGGGGCAGGGGCATTGTGGGAGGCTCGCGGAATGGTGGTGATAGATGGACACCAGTCGTAGGTATGACCTGGTTGATGGATGGTTAGAGATGTTGAGTTGAACTAAATTTAGAAATGAATATAGGGAGACACAATCAAATCTGAAACACAGGATTCTTGTCCTTTCAAAGCCAAGAGTGAGCTTTACAAAAACACCACTGGAATTGAACGACAGAGTCAGATAAATGATTTGGAACTTTTTGATTAAATTTGGGAGTCAGTGAGAATTTATACAAGATTTCTATTCAGAAATTTTAATTAGTTAGAAAAATGATGCATGGATCTGGAACACATGGAATTCAAAAACATGCAGTTCCAAGTTTCCTTACGTATAAAAATATAAAATGGTCTTGCAATTTGACTGAAGATTGAATCATGACCATGAGTTATAGATGCTTTCTGCAATATACAGTGCATCTGTAGCCTTGGAATGCAGCATTAGAAAAGGCTTGAGTTAACAATTTACTGCAATAGAGTGCTAAATCTGTAATCAATTATTTTGCATTTTTTTTGTTGTGGTTAAATGATAGATAAATAGATTCAGTGTTTAATTGAGGTCAATGTAAAGTTAATATATCTAAGTTACATTACTTTTCTTGCTGCCAAACAGATATTTAGATGTGAATCATTTCCCAGCACCTCCTGATCAAAGAGGACGCAGCATGGTTCCCCAAAGAAGATCGACAAATTATGCTGTCATTGTACCCGATTTTCGTGCTACTGGGATGAGAAACAGTGATAGTTTACACTTAATGCCAATTTCTTTGAGTGGGTATGCCAGCTCAGAGTCCAATAGCTCTGGAACCTCAACTCCGACATATATTCCAACTCCTAATGAATATAATGCAGCAGCAGCAAGGCATTGGCAAATTTATAACTCGCCTGTAAACCTGGAAACACCCATGTTACACGGTAATGGATTTTATCGCTGTAATCCAAGCCAGTCATTCTCCCACTATCGAGCAATTGAACGCACAGAGGGAAATGCGATGAGTCAAGTGTGGGAAAAGGATCCAAATCGACAATATACCACTATGCAATACTTAAACCCTCCACTGTACAGAGAGTGGCAATACATTGATGAGAAAAATTCACCAACCGTGCAGCGAATTACTCCATCCCACTGCAGGATTGTACGGACTCCTTCTCTAAAGGAATACTCCAACAGGAGCTTGCTAAAGGAAGTTGTGTCAGAGGAGCTACAGTCTTGGCATGAGCGCACCAGGCAAAGGAATGGGCGTCCTCATTCACTGGACAGACAGGGCGCCTTTCGAGGTCCGCGTACACAGAGCAGAGGACGAGAACACTATATGTATCGGCCAACACACTCTATTCAGGTGAGGCCTGGTCAAGGATAACAGGATAGATTTCTAATAGACAGTGTAGATCAAGTAAATGACCTGAGAGAAATGAATGGAACTGATCAAAGTTAAATACATTTAAATAATGAGTTCCTACAACAAAGAATTTCAAATTTACCCTAATTCTGATTTCATGTTGAAATAACTTAATATTTTGTGCATATTAAAAAAGTATTTCATAGCTGTCATGAATTGAGTCAAACTGTAGATCCATAGATCTGTTTTGGAGCTTTTCATGGGCGGTGGCGCATCATTATGTCAGCATTATGATATCCTATAAAATATTCCATGAACTATTTTAATGGCTCTGAATCTGAAGAGATTTTGAGATAGCTAGTATTGTAAAATCAGAAGTCACACAACACCAGGTTATAGTCCAAGAGGTTTACTTGAAATCAAAAGCTTTTGGAGCGCTGCTGCTTCCTCAGTTTTATCAGGACTATAACTTGGTATCTTGTGACTTCTGACTTTGTCCACCCTAGTCCAACACTGGCATCTCCACATCATGTATGGAATTATAGACCATCTGTTATTGCTCAGATTACAGTTAATAGTCATTCATAGCACTGTGGGTCTGGAGTCATATTCAGGTCAAACCAGCTAAGGATGACAACTTTTTTTTCCCCCAGAAGGACAATAATGAACTAGATGGGCTTTTACAACAATGGTTACATGGTCATCATTAGGCTAGCTGTTTTTTCTTTGCAGATTTTTACTGAAATCAAATTTCATTATCAGTTATTCTGCAATTTGAACCCGTGTCCCCAAACATCAGCCTTGGATTCTAGATAGCTAGGCCAGTGACATAGTCATTACACACCCACTTCCCTTCTAATTCATTTTTTTTTGTAAAATGCAAGGAGGTGGTCTTTTGGTACAGTGGTAACTCTGCTACAGTTGGATTAGAAACTTCCTGAACTATTAGCCATGGAAAGTTTGTTTGTAACATGGCCATGCAGGTTAACTGTCAGCCTGTAATTCCTTTCAATTTGCCCGAGGGCAAGTGGTACGAGTTGGAGAACATCCTAGTCAGCCATATTGCAGGAGGCAAGGGCAGATCACTGTCGTTCCTTACTCAGAAGTGTGGACTAATCCAATGGAAGTCCATGGCCCAACACTAGGAGACAAGGATGGGACAAAAGGCAGACAGTTAGGTTAACATTAAGACTGACGCAGAAAAAAAAACAATGACACTAAAGAACGAAAATTGAAAAAAGGGTTGGGACTTCCCATAATGCTTAACAATCCAATGCCGGTTTGTTATTACAGGTTTAGAACTTTCCAATATAACTTATAGCAACTAGTTACATTTCACAGATTGTATACTATCAGAGAAATCTCTTATGGTTCACTAATATTTACATATAGGTTTATCCTTCTCCTACTTATTCTCTTTTCTTCTAAAAGATGAGCAAATTTCAAATAATTTAGTGCTCCCTGTGCAGAGCCTCACACAATAAAATGAGCAAACAGATATTGAGCCTTCATAATCTCCAAATGTCACAAAGCAGTTCACAGACAATAAAACAGTTCTGAAGTGTGATCACTGTTATTTTAGGATAATGTAACAGTCAGTTTGCACACTACAAGAATCACAAAAAAAATGAGGTAAGAACTAGATCATCATCATCTAATTAGTAATGTTGGCTGAGGGATAGATTTTGGCCGGCAGACTGGAAAAACTCATTTGGTTTTCTTTGTGTAGTGCCATGAGATGTTCACCATCTACCTGAGACAACACATAGAGTCTTGGTTCAATATTTGCACAAAAAAAGGGCCTCTTAAATAGTTCAACATTGTTTCAGCGATACATTAGGTGGGAGGTGGGTCTTTATCCTCTTTTTGATTGTGGTTGCTAGTCAGTATGTGCAATGTAGAAGTATGTGGAAATAGAATTGGGTACCACGTCCTGGATGCCATTCTCAGCCCAACCAACATGCTTCTACTATAATTTTACCCGTGTCAAGTAGAAATTTTCCTCCCTTCTGCCAATTGAGTCCATCCAAATATTGGCCAATAAAGGATCTTCTTCTCCTACCACTGAGATATTATCCATCATGGGCAGAGTCCAGTAGCAATTGTGAAACCCAGCAGCTTTTCCTACTCAGGTTTATAGCTTGGCAAATGAGAGTCGGGGTATACCTCCTTTACAGACCTCCTTTATCAATTGGAGACCCACCCCAAGGAATTTCCACCCTCACATTCTCATTTCCCCATTGCCCTCTCCATTGCAGTACCCTCATCCTCCCTGTCCCCTCACCAGGGTTTGCCAGCCTGGTTCCAGTGAAGACAAAAAACCAATGATACATGCTAAATGTATGTACCACAGTGCTTAATAAATTATAAGTAGCGTCTTGCTTAGGTGCAATCTTAAACAAACCTAAGCCTGGAAAAGCAACATCTACTCAAGAAAACTTGTTTCATGCATAAGACAATGATTAATCAGTATTCAGTCTGCCAAGCACTGAACAAGTTACAGCAATTCCACATAAGAAGTGTTCCAACTCAAAAAATAGTGGAATTGGCTGCTCATCTCCACTAGATTTTAATGCTCTTAAAAGAATCAATGTTCTTATTTACTTTGTTGTTTATAACTTATGAAAAAAACATAAACACTTGAAAACACTTGAAGTAGTTAAGGCATTGAAACCATAAAAAATTAACTATGTAACTAGTTAAATAGTAACAGAAAAAAAGGGGAGAATCAAAAAGGAACAAAAGACATTTCAGAGGCTAATATTCATTCACAACTATTTTTGCATTATCCTAATTTGCAATTTACTAAAACCTGCATTATTTTATAGTTGGGATGATTAAATTCATGATGTTACAACATTATGTAGAATCACATGGTTTGCATTAAGCAATATTCTGCCATCATCAGTTTAAAGTCTTCCACCATATACCATTGACTATACCAATGTATAAAATATAGATTGCTCTTTAACCTTCTCCATCCGTCCCACTCCCACCATCCCCAATGATGAGAAGAAATGCTCTTCTTCAGCATACAATAGAATGTCTAGGAATACTCAGAAGAAAGTACATGCAGCACAAAAATATGGCCCTTTTATTTTGTATTTTATCTGAAAGAACCATGATAGCATTTATATTGGAAAGTCCTGTTAAAGAGGTCATTTGGAGCAGTATTTAACAGGTTAATGTTGAAGGCTTGAAAAATAGCTTTAAAAAGATCACAGGCCTGCACATGTTGAACCTAAAAGTTAGGTTTTGGTAGATGAGCAGTTAAAAAAGAACAAATGACATGATGAGAGAGCAAGGAACAGCAGTTCAAAGCATGGGATTACCACTACTCAAGGCAGTGTGTTCTGTGTTCTTGTCTCGACTGCATAAGTAAGTCTGTTTTCCTAATTTTGGGTGTACAATCCTTCTCTTTAGGATACATGCAATTTACCAAAACAAGATAACAAGTCTTTAAAGTGCACATAGGAGTATTGTTATTAGTTTAATCAACAAAACTGTCGGGCTGACCATCAGATAGCAGAGGTATGTTTCCTGTTGCATAGCTAATTATGCCCGCCCTACTTGTTAAGGACGTTGGTTTGCAGTGTTATTTAGAACAAAGTGGCCCTAGACCCTGATCTACCCTTCAGATGTTATTCAGGCTGATCAATTTTTAACACAGTGCTGACAAGTTTAACCTGCAGTTGGACTTCACTGTAACTGAAAGGAGACAAGAAAAGCTGAGATGCTGGTCCCTTTCTTCTTACTGTCTCCAAGATAAAACTGGTATTTACCAGAACCTCAAGTATGAAGATACATTAACTGTTCGGATAGTGAAACTGGGTATCTGCCAATCTAACTCTCTAAAATCATTTTTAAGATTGAGCCAAACAGATCTGTGATAGCACATATGGTGAAACAAACTTCACATCCAAGAGGTTGGCCTATTGTCATTTGTCATTTTGGTAAGAAACTGGAAAGCACTATTGTAGCAGAATCCAACACTGCAGGTGTGTTAGAACAGTGGAGTCTCAGTGAAACCTTGTTCAAAGAACCTTAATCTGTCTCTAACGAGATGAATATGCTCAAATCTCATAACCAAGCTATGCCACAAAAAGGCATAATACAAATTTTAATGTGCTTGTTAAATGAAAATTAAAAGGAGACTAATAATAAGCATGAAATGAATGTTTATTTAAACAACTCATTTCATCAGTCAAAATACCCTGCACCCCTTAAAACAAAAAGCAATTACTGGATTCCTTGAGAAAAGAGTGAATCTTTGTTGCAATCTCCTTTTCTCTTGCTATTGCTGAGTATTCAGATTGTCTTTAACAAAGTGCCTGCAGATCCTCTTTCTTTATCTGTCTTTTTGGTCTGTGGATGTAAGGTATTGCTACTTGGGGTAAACCATAATAATTGATCTTGTCAGCAAATCAGAAAATTATTTTCCTTAGAGGGAAAAGATAAAGTAAAATACTAATTTAAGATAAAGTACTAATTTAATGTGTCATTCCAAAAACCTGAGGTGAGCATAAATAATACCAAATAATATGATTAGTACAAACAAGTTGATAACTAAAGTTATATTGTGTATCTAAGTTTAAATAAGTATTTATTTTTACACCTACTGTTTTTTTCAGAATTTTGCTTGGTTTTGCCGTCTCCAAATCAAATGTAGATCAAAGTAGAAAATCTATCTGTGTTCAGGCAAGTTAGTATCAGATAAGACTGTCATCCCCTCTCAATTGATGTGGGACTTATTACATGCTTAAACATTGCAGTGTTACTTAGCAGCCTAAACTGGCAGCGTACAAAGCAAGTTAGAACAGAACCCAGTCCCATTGAAATTAAAAGTGATCCAAATGCACTGTTGATGGATTTCTATGGCTGTCTTATTACATTACATTTTCTTCAGCATCACAGATGTGAGCAGATCATTCCATGATGCATAAAAAAGTAATCCAAACATCAAAATTTCCAACCTGCGTAGCATATCCGTAACCAGTTATATAAATTCATCTGCAGTTGTCAAAACATTAATAAAAAAACAAACAAGTTTTGACTAGAGTTGTAAGAAATCTTGTCAGGAAAAAGGAGGTCTAGTCACGCCGTGGATAGTGCCTCCATTTCTAAGTTAAAAGCTCTGAGCTAAAGTCCCACTCCACAACTTGATGAAATTCTCCAAACCAGATTGCATAAATCATTCCTGGAAGGCCAAAGGCAGGTGCTAAGTGCAGGACAGATCTTGGTTAGTAATGTGATGGAAAGAACATTGGAGCCCATTCCAACGTAAGCCATAGTTTACACTACAACATGTCTTGGCTCACTCCTTGGGGAACCAGTTAGCTTAACTAGTTGAATGACTATTGTGGATCGGACTGGGATCAACTGCATGAGGTTTGACTCCCTTTCCTGATGAGATGAATTCAAGAATCGGCCTCCTTGCCTTACCCAAATTGGAAGTCATGGCACTAAGGTCAGTTTTGCCAGCAGACAGATTGTTGGGATGCAAACTAAATAGCTGCAGTTGTGAGTGGGAATCTGGTAGGGACTCAACTCACGATTTCTGTCCATCCAAACTCACATTTCTATGGAGGTAAGAGCAAACAATCTTTGCCAGCACACAGCAGACAGATGCATACATGAGAATTGGGCTGCTGGGTGGAAGTGAAACCATCCTGAAGCAAGGATTAACATCTTCTGAGGAGAAAAGAAAGCTTTCTGCAAAGCAAAAAAAAAGTTCAGCAATAAAAATGTTAGATGATAATATGACAAAAAGCACATTCTGCTAAGATACCAAATGGTGTGTATTTATTCCAGAAAAATTAAGGAACAATGTAATGATAAATGGTTAAATATACATGCCAATTTCTAAGATAACAAGGTGTAGAGCTG